TGTTTAACTTAAAGTTTATCAGTTTAACCTCAGTGTTTACAGCTGAGCCCTGGGTGGGGGCTACTGCCCTCTGGTGGACTATCATTGCAATGCTCTTCACCTTTTTTGTTCAGTCGTTCATTGCTCAGTAGAACCCCAGGGACTGTAGCACGCCAGGCCTCCCTGTCCTTCACCAACTCCCAGAGTTTGCTCAAACTCATGTTTATTGAGTCAGTGATGCCATTCAACCATCTCATTCTCTGTTGTCCCCTTCTCCTCCTGCCTTCAATCTTTTCCAGCATCAGGGTCTCTTCTAATGAGTCAGCTCTTCGTATCATTATGATCTGGTGAATCCAGCTCCATCTGCCTGCAGCCAAAAATACCCCTGTAGCCCTCTCTACCATGACGTGTTGTTGCTCAAGTTGCTGGCCCTGGGCAGCTCCTTATTATGCATAAATATGCATAGCAGATTTGCAGGGCCTGGCTTACTTAATTCAAATGAAGGCGCCTGTCCTGTCTCTTCGTGGCTATCATGGAGCGCGCAGCTTTGGTGTGTGTAGGCAACTGCTAAGCTCAAACAACAGGCCCCTGCCTCAGCCCTGGATGCCTCATCGTCCCGTTTCAAGTGGAGACGACCTGACACTATTTCCTGCAGAAACTGCTGTGGGGGTGAGGGCTGCGGGAGTTAAACCACTTTCTGTGGTTTAATATCTTACAAAACTGCTTTCTTCTTTGAGTACAGTTAAAACAAGCTCTCACTGAAGTGAAAGTCGCTCAAGTCATATCCAACTCTTTGCGACCCCATGGACTATACAGTCCATGGAATTCTCCAGGCCAGAATACTGGAGTGGGTAGCCTTTCCCTTTTCCAGGGGATCTTCCCAACCTAGGGATTGAACCCAGGTCTCCCGCATTGCGGGTGGGTTCTTTCCTAGCTGAGCCAACAGGGAAGGCCAAGAATACGGAGTGGGTCGTCAACCTTCTGCAGCGGATCTTCCCGACCCAGGAATCGAGCTGGGGTCTCCTGCATGCAGGCAGATTCCTTACCAACTGAGCTATCAGGGAAGCTCTTACTAGAGCTAAACATTTGAATTTTCCCTTAAGTTTTTACAGAATTACTGTATCCAATATCCTTAGTGAGCGAAGGATCACTTAGAAAGGCTGGAGGTGGAGAATGTGGGGAAGGGCACCACAGAAGGTCAGAGACCCCTGACAATAAGATTCTAATGCTGGTGAAGAAAAGTCACCTGTGAGCACAGGGGCTCGGTCCGGGGCGCTCTCTCAGCTACGTGGTGCGGGGGGGCCTTGCCGGCTCTACAGCGGACCCCGCCTGTCCAGACTCTCCTGTGGCTCAGATCACGTGGCCCAGCAGACTTGACCTTGCTGTGACCACAGGAAGGAACTCATGGGGAAAAGTGTGGTTTGACACAGAAAACAGGAAATGGAATAAACCCCCCTGTTGCCAAATGACCTCAGCATGTACACCGAGTGTCTTGTTTCAGAAGGACACTCACAGGCGTGAAGGCGCCCTGGGGACCAGCCGTGCCCCGCCCTCCCTGTCGGGTGTGCCAAGACAACGATGCCCGCTGCCGCTTCCGGGGCCATCACTCAGGGCCCGGCCCGCTGTCCAAGGCCTCCAGGGCGAGGCAGGGTCTCCTATGTGCCCAGGGCTTCCCTTTTGCACTGTTGATGAGCCCAGGCCCCCCACTCACTGTCCCCAGCTGTGCATCCTGCGCCGCACACACAGCCTCCACCCGCAGCCCCGCACGGCCCCTCGGAAGGTGGTGATGGGCACCCCAGTGCCCGCGCATCTCCTGTGTGGGAGTAACGGGCTTTCCTAACCCAGAAGCCTCGCATTTGACCAGCACCACCGAACCAGCAACAGGCTAGCTGCCAGCCTGTTGGCAAAGGAAAATCGTGGCCTGCAGCTGAGCACAAGGCCCAGGTCCATGACTTTCTCTCTTTTAAACTGAATCTCCAGCTCGGTGCCCAGGGCAGAAATGTGGTGCTGACATGGGCGGGAAGGACTCCAGCTCCCAAGCAGGCTGGAGGCTTCCTGCAGGGGCTGCATGCGGAGAGCCTGGGGGGCGGAGGGGGAAGGGGCCGGAGGACCTGGGCTGGAGAGGGGAGGCCCCTGGGGGTCTCTCAGCACCGGGGTGTCTGTCACCAGGCCGGACCCTGGGGCCAAGTCCCCGTGGTTTGAACATGCTCTGCATTGTCAATGAATCACGGCTTTGCACAGCTGGCTGTGGGTATAAAATTGAATTTGTCACACTCAACCGTAGAAGACCATAGCAGTGTAATGAGATGGTTTGGAAATGGATTTTCATGGGCTCTGGACTCTAATTGTTTGGGGGAAATCCATCAGTGGATTCTAAACCACCACAGAAGTCTAGGGAGCACTCCTAGGAACTCAAGGGTGTTACTTGTCTAGGGCCACAGCTTGAAGCTTCGAAAACCTTCACTGCTTTCCTGACACAGCATCTTTTTCTGCCTTTCGCCTTAATTACAAAGCAAGTAACAATTATCTGAACATATTAAGGGATGATAACTTAAGAGCTCATGAAACAAAAATAAACAAAAATAAGGGTGCAGAAATCTTTCCAATGTTCTACTTTCCACAAGGCAACTCATTTAAAATTTCAAATAATGGAAAACAAGCTGAAAACATCCAAACTGTGGCATCTGACTTTTCGAGTCATTGCTTCCTGCTTTCATGCTTTAGTTTATAGGCTATTTTGGGAACATTTTGGTTTACAGAAAAGTCGAGTGGAGTTTAAAGCAAGGAGCTCACGTGTAGCTTTTCACTGCTCCTCCCAGCTCCCCAGCTGCTCACATTCTCATGGATGTGGTTCATCTGTCACAACTGATGAACCAATAATCACCACATCTAAAATGAATGCCACACAACTTTTCATACACTTTAATTGAGCCCTGGGAAAACTGCTAAACCACATGTGGCTAAAGGCTAAAGTTTTTAATGAAATGCCAAGTGAATAAAAGCTTTCATGGAAGGATTATAGGATTAAAAAAGAAAAATGTATAAAGCTTTCTTTTTGTTTAGGTGTGTTAGAAAGAAAGGGTGATGATATAATCTATGACAAAGGAGGTGAAGAGATACAGTGGAGGAGAGGCTCTCTTCAGTAAGGGTGTGGGGAAAACTGCACAGCTACATGTAAAAGAATGAAATTATTAATAGAACATTACCTAATGCCACACACAAAAACAAACTCAAAATGCATTAAACACCTAAATGCAAGACCAGACACTATAAACATCTTAGAGGAAAATATAGGCAGAACACTCTGTGACATAAATTGCAGCAATATCTTTTTTGATCCACCTCCTACAGTAATGAAAATAAAAACAAAATAAACAAATGGGACCTAATTAAACTGAAAAGCTTTTGAACAGCCAAGGAAGTCATAGAACAAAAAGACAACCCACAGAATGGGGTCGAGAGAAAATATTTGCACAAAGTGACCGACAAGAGATTAATCTCCAGAATATACTGACAGCTCATGCAGCTCGATATAAAAAAAAAACAAACCCAATAAAAAAAATGCACAGAAGATCGAAATAGAGATTTCTCCAAAGAAGACATAAGGAGGACCAAAAAGTGCATGAAAAGAAGCTCAGCATCACTCATTTATCAGAGAAATGCAAATCAAAACCACAATGAGGTATCACCTCACACCTGTCAGAATAGCCATCATCAAAAATTCAACAAACAACTCTGGAGAGGGTGTGTAATAAAGGGAACCCTCCTGCACTGTTGACAGGAATGTAAACTGGCACAGCTACTATGGAGAACAGTATGGAGGCTCCTCTAAAAACTAAAAATTGAATTACCATATGATCTAGCAAACCCACTCCTGGACGTATATTCAGAGAAAACCATAATTTGAAAATATACATGTAACCCAATGTTCAGTGCAGCACTATTAAAATAGCCAAGACATGGAAGCAGTCTAAATGTCTGTCCACAGACAAATGGGTAAGTAAGATGTAGGACATACACACGCAACATTACTCAGTCATTAAAAGAACAAAGTAAGGCCGTCTGCAGCAACATGGATGCCCCTGGAGAGTGAAGTCTGACAAAGACAAGTGTCATATGATACTGCTTACATGTGGAATCTAAAAAACGGTAGGAATGAACTTATTTACAAAACAGAAATAGAGTCACAGATGGAGAAAAGAAACTTATGGTTACCAGAGACATAATGTGGGAGGGGTAAACTGGGAGACTGGACTTGATATATGCACACTACTATAATCAGAGCAGATAATAAGGACCCACCGTCTAGCACAGGGAACTCTACACAGTACTCTGCCATGATCTATAACAGAATGGAATCCAAAGAGGACATACGTGCATATGCATAACTGATTCACTTTGCTCTACGCAGAAACTAACGCAACATTGCCAAACAACTATACTCCAAATAAAAATTAATCTTGGAAGAAGAGGAAAGCAGTAGGGTGAGTGAAGGCTGAAGCAGCAGGTCTGGGTGCTCATTTAGAAGCGGCGTCTCACAACTGAAGACGCTCGCACCCTGCTCGTTCTCAGGTGAGCTGCAGGGATCCGTACCGGGCCGGCTTCTCCGTCAGCCCCTCGCCCAGAACCCCCGAACCTCAGCAGGGGTTCTCATCCCCGCACAGCCCGCGACCCGCGCACCCGGCCGGAGGCGCTCCGCCCGCCGCGCGGACTCACCTGGGGACGCGGGGAGGCCGGAGGGCGGCCTGGGAAGCTCAGGCAGCACTGTCGGCGCTCCGGGGGGCCCGCGGGCCGGGGGCGCCAGGCGGAGCTCGGGGAGGCGGGGGGAGGGCGGGGTGGCGGCAAGTGGAGGCCCTGGTCGCAGAGCTGAAGGCGAGGGGCCGCCTTCCGGGCCTCGGCCTCCCCGCGCGGAGCCGCGGACCCGCCCGCGCCCTGCCCGCCGCTGCTCCTGCCCTTCCAGGGAACCTAAAACGAGCACCGACTAAGTACCGCCAGATTGATTCGTTTGAAACTCGTTTTAATCTGTGCCATTTTCGCGTACATTTGAAACCTGTCGCCTTAATAAACGTCCGATTTTTTTCAGCGGATAGAGGAGCTGACGCTGTTCCAACAAGTAAATATATATCCTGAGGGGAAGGGTGCAGTTTTCTGGATAAAACTCTTTGGTCTATATAAAGATTCTGAGTTTAAAAATCACACGAGGATTCACTCCAATGAAAAGTAAACATTCCTTTTCTCGAAAAATTTAATTGCAGAACTATTTACAGGAGGTGAACATCAGCAGTACAGAAATCAGAAGAGAGAGGCATTATCCTAGAAGAAGTCAGGAAAGAGTGAAAAAAGAGTCAGGAGAGAAAAGAACGCAAGGAACACAATCCTTCAATGCCCTGAAGTGTTGACCAACATCTGATTGGAACTTATCCACAAAAAGGAAGGGAGCGTGGTGTGGACTGCGCCCTGTACATTCAGAGTAGGTGTCCTGCATGCTACTGAAGAGAACTTATCAAAAGAACCAGAAAAGCATGAGAAAGAATTCCTAAAATAGTTTAATTCCAGGGAAGAGTGATTCTGTACAGATGTAGAATATTTGGCGCTCTGTGGTTGATATGATTCCATATGTATATATATCTATATATATATTTATATACTTTTTTTTAAAACGTTAACTAAAACATCTAGTTTCCTGGTACTAACATCCCTTGAATTTCTGTAGGAGGCATTTCCTTTAGTCCTTAGGCCACAGCTGGGTGTTTTGGCACGTGACGTGGGGGGTCGGCGTGGAGGACCCGTACGGAGGGGACAGCATTTGGAAATCAGAGTTCGAAAGTAGCCTGGGGTTCACTACTGGCGAGGGGAAACTTTTAGAATTTGGTAAACCAGGTGTAAAGTGAAGGGAGAGAGAGACTGACGTGCTGAGCCCTTTAAAGTGATGTGATCACGGCAAAGCGATGGGCTGGGCCGTGGGGGCGGGGCGGGGCGGTAACCGAAGAGCAGGGGCGTGGACTCCAGGAGGGGGCGCCACCGACGGCCTCGGGGGTCCCAGCTTCCCCGTTGCGGGCACAGACCAACCTCTCGTCTCGTCTGCTGGACAGACGGAACCGTGTACACACTGCAGAGACCGGTCCTTCCTCACTGAGGACGTGAAAGCGCGCGTTTCCAAGGCTTTCAGGTTCGGAATAAGCACCCATGATGAAGAGTCACATAAGATCTAAGAAAGTAGGGGGGTAAACCCCTGTTGTTTCTCTCTGTGTGTATACAAAATCTTTTAAAAAGTAGTGTTGTGGTAGGTAACTAACACTTCCTCTGCAAGGAAGTCAGCTCCAAGAGTTTAGATTGAAACTTGAAATAATTGTTTTTAACGCTGGATCAGAACGCCAGGGTTACGACAGCAACCGGGAAAATCACGGGGATTTCGCGATGCTTAAAGGATGAAAAGATGGCGGCTGCTCGGAGAGCTCTCCCGGACCACCTGGCCTTCTCCGAGGTACAGAGGGGTCCGGACGCGCGGCCAGGCCCGGGCGAGGCGGTGGCGCCCTCACTAGCCTCCGGCGATTCCGGTCAGGACGCCTAATTCCGTCCCTGGCACGGTCCCACATGCTGTTTTCTGCTTCCAAATTATTTTTTCTTTGTCGCTTTCCGGTTTCACTTAAGACCTTGCCATTTCCCCTGAGATGCAGGTGTGCCCAAGCAATGGTGATAACACAGTCTCATTCTGGGGGGTGCCTGGCCCTTGTTCAGGGAAACATTCAGAAACGCTTGCTGTCCAAGCCGGAGAAAACGGAGAAAGGGCCCTCAGGGCCCTCTCCACTTCCAGGCCCTCAAGAAGCTCGTGATCGCCTCCTGCTGGGCCCAGACAGCCTTCCCAGGAGGGGACCGCTGAGCCTGGTACTCAGGATCTGACTGGACTCCACATGCATCCCACACAGAGCAGGTGGGACCTGCTTTATCAAGAATGGGGACATTTTCACAACCAGCTCAGAAGATGTCAGGGCCATCAGTCTTTCACAGAATGTCAGTGAGGGCGACAGGAACAGGAGAGACGGGAACACAGAGTCAAGACAGGTTGTGGATGATGTAGGAACAGAAGCCAGGCTGATCCGCCAGCCGACTGGAGATTCCTGGGTTTCTCTTTCGACTGCAGGACTCTCTGCAGCCACTCTGTGCTAAAGGGCACTTCCTCAAGTGTGAAAGGGCACCTCTCCCAGCATCGTGTCCACTGCCCACATTTACTGCAACTCTCAACGGAGTCAAGTGACAAGGTGGAGCTCTTGCTGTGAAGGCGCAGGGCTCTGATGTGACCCCGTGCCACGCGTGGAGGACAGACAGTGCAGGGGAGGCTGACAGGGCCACGCCCGTTGCTCTAGCCCCGGTGGTGAGAATGTTCCGCTAACCAGCAGCAGCTATAGTCTCGGTCACTTATATTTGAGGTTTTCTATTTTATTTTCGAATTTTGGAACAGTGTCTTTAACCAAAACTTTCAAACAAGTGTAAACAAATATGCAGATTAAAACAAAGGAGACTCTCAAGGTGTTCCAAGGGGCTGATGTTTGAAAACCAGTGTCTCCAGCTACCTGATTCATATGTTAAATATGCAAAAAAAGAAAAAAATTCAGCAGTTCAGGCTTTGAGAAGAAAGGAGGTGCCTGAGAAACATGTGGGGTTAAAGGTGTGTGTGGAGCCATCTGCTTGACATTGGGGCATGTGGCAGGAAGGTGCTGCTTCTCAGAATGGCGGGAGGCCCACGTCCCACGCCCTCCACAGGCTGACCCTTCAGGGCCACCTTTCTGCACCCTCGGTGGGACACGTCCCTGCCCCGTGGCCAAGGTTTGCAGGGCCTCCATTTCCCTGGACTGGGCGCTGGCAACTGATTCCAGACTGCACGTGGGGCCTTGGGGAGCAGACAGGAGTCTGGAGGAGCTGAGGCTCTCCAGCCAAAGCAGCTCAAGCCTTGGCTGGGTCTCCCGGGATGCTCCTCGGAGCACTCACGGTCCCTGTGACTGGACCCAGGTACTGCTGAGGGCAGAGGGTTTCTCGCAGGGCCTTCCCCTTTCTCCCGCTTCCTATGCGCCACCGGATGCTTCGGCCCAAACCAGGCAGCTGCTCCAAACAGCTGTCCTCGGTGCCCCTGCAGGCACTTGGACTGGATGTCTGCGCCATGCCTTTCCTTCCCAGGAAAGTCCATTCTGGACCTGGCTGAAGACCTGCGTGAAAGTGCAATGTGGGGTCTTCCAGTGAAGGTGATGGAGAGGTGGCTGCCCCACGCAGACTTGGGAAGGGTTGAACAGGAACACAGACCCCCAAAGAAACATCCCAGCCCCACATCTGTGGGCCCTGGATCGTGCTGTCTTCTGGCCATAAATTTGGTCACTTCTATCTCTAGGCATCAGCAGGGACAGTCTCTACTTGCAAGGTCACTGCAAGTGGTGGTTATTTTTGGTGGTTATTTTTCTTTAAAGAGGGAATCGTCAATGTAGCCTGATCTTTTTTCCTAATCATATACTTTCCTATTTAATGCTGGATGTCTTTAGTATCGACTTTGAGGTGAATACATCAACAACATTTCCTTTTAAACAAAAATGTAATTTTTTGGTATCATACCACAGTTCAACTCTTCATCCCCCATTCTAGGACGGTCCCATCAATTTGCTGAGAAACAGTGGTAACAACTGTCACTAACAACTGCTCTCACAATGAAGATGTATGAGATGAATTACATTGAAAGCGCACTTGTGAACAAGTGAGACTTGCCTTTTCTGGGTTTTGTTAAACACTAGGACCCTGTTTATCATACTTGTGTTCTGATTTGGAAAGTCACGCAGGGCCGTCAGCACAGCAACAGCAATGTATTGGTCGTGAGGAAAATGGTTCTAAAGGGCACCTGGTTATGATGGTTACGGGCATTATCTCCAGGGAAGGGAAGTGTGTGATCACAGAGAACGTGGCACTTCCTTTCCATCACAAATGTGCCTAGAATGCGGTGTGCTATCATTTTCAACCAGATTCTCAATTCTGAAGATCATCTTTTGCTAAATTGCATCCACAATGTGATGAAATGGTCACAGAGTAGCTATGTGCTCTGTGTCTGTAGGAGTGACTGTAAGAGTTCGTGTGATGCAGGAACACAAGTATTATAAACAGTTTTATTTCTCTTTACATGTACAACGTGTAAACATGGCTTATCGTCTGCCTTTCATGACGGGATGTCACCACGAGAATGGCTGTATTGCACTTGGTTGTGTCCCACACGCGGTGACACTCCATCAGATGCCGCCGCACGCACACCGCCCCACCCCCCACAACCTTCTTTGGAAAAACGTGGATCAAATAGGGGATCGGACACGCTCCCCACCTCCAACCAACAACTGACGTCAAATTTAATTTAGGTGAATCTGCTCACCTACGGATGGTTCAGGTCAAGACTTTGGGGGGGGGGGGGTTAAGATTTAAAAAAAAGAGTATACAAAACATAAAAACATTAATCCAAATTCAGTGAGTATTTTTAAGTCAGGATCAGAGAATCTGGGATCTAGAATCATTGTTGTCTAATTTTATAGTTGGTTGATAGCCATTTTGTACAAGTTCAAGGAAATGAGATAAAACCCATCAGCTTCCAGGTGAGGCACACCTGAGGAGGCTGCAAGCACGTATGCATTTTACATCTCCCCTTGTCAGGGAGTCGCACCCAATTTCCTGTGGTTATTTCTAGAGAGCTGTTCGTCTTAATAACACGTCATGTTTAAAGTCTAAAATGCTAATGCTTGCAAATACATTTGTCTTTAACAGAGTATACTAAATATAGGAAGAAGCATCATTACTGTATACTACTCAGGATTTAGGTATTTATTTAGGTAGAAAAAAATGCTTAGAATACTCTGGGGAGATAGGGCTCATTTATAGAAGAATATTTCAGGGATTTTTTTTTTTTTTTTGCATTTTTCAAGGATATACATTCGTACTGATTTTTGCTTCCAAATATATTTTAAGGCTGTTTGGTAAAATATATACCAGATATGAGGTTCCATTTACAGGGTTTTGTTCTTACAGGGACTTCTTAACTACTCAGCTTTAAAAAAGTAAAACTGTGAAGCTAAACATGCTTTGCTATCACCTGCGCTCCTACGAACCCCATGCTTCATGGAATGTGGACTGTGAGGAAAAGAAACGCTGCAGGCGGCAGGCGCCTGCCTGTGCAAGGACGTCACCGAGCTCTCACGCACAAGGTGTGGAGGGCGGTGTGTCTTAAAGTGCGAGTCAAACAGGAAAACAAAGTGCTATGGAGGGGGGTCTGTGCTGCCAGGCTGGGGGCCCACACTCCTGGGGCACACGGCGTCCCGCGGAAACGCTGTGGCCCCTGCTTTTACCTGGAGGCACAGCGAGGACTCTAGTCTGGGGTCAAGTGGGTAAGTCCATGGGCGCTTCCTTTGAGGTGGTGTCTCAACAGACACACAACCATCCAGGTGGAACAATGGTCCCGGCATCTAAATTTAACGAGATGAATGGAAAACCTTCCATTAGAGACCTTCCTATTTTTCTCTGTGCCAATCAGAATCATGAAAACAAATTACTTTTCTGAAAGTCCACAGCTGGAAATCACAATGTAACCTTTTTTTTTTTTTTTTTGTCATGTCGAAAACAGGCAAGAAATATGTCTGGACTTCACCTGTACTGCATAGGACAAAAGAATTCTGGAAAAATACAATGTAAACCACATTTCTTCTTTACCATTTAAACTGAGATATACTTACCACACACATTCATATTTCTTAAACTTTTTACAGCATTACAACTGTCATTTTAAACAAGCAAACTTTTTTTGTTTTGTTTTGTTTTTTAAGGATACCCTGGAAAGTCAACTGATAGAGCATTTGAGAATATATATACATCTATAAAAAAAAATCACATGGAGCATAAAGGGTGAAACTTAAAGACAGAACCGTGGGTGATAGTTTAAGTTACAAAGGGATAAAAAATAAACGACTCTTTTATCTGATTAAGGACAACCGTGTTCTCTTTCTACCCCTGCTACAGAAGAGTCAGCCTTTCTTAAGACTCTGTTTCGTATGTCTCTCCCTGTGTGCACAGATATTCCAGCTGACTTCTGGCCATGGAGATGCTGTGCTGAGTTTGGGGGCGCAGAGGTGGACTTCCACTCCAGGTTTCGAGAGAAGCGCGAGGCGGGGAGCTTGGTGGCTGCAGAGATGATTCCTCATCACCATGGACTTGGCACAGGAACCATGTGAGGGGTCACTGGGTTCAGGGCACAGGGACCCCAGGCCGCGGGGTGGGGGTCTTCCTTTCCTGCACTCAAGCTGTAGCACCTTCTCTTGGGGTATCTAATGCCTTGAGAGTGCTGAGACACACCCTTTCACAGTTGTTTGTTATTCTCGCCTCTAATATCACACGATTTATAAAAATATAAATAAGAAAGTGTGAACTGGGTTCCATCTCGAGCGGTTTCCTCGACCCCCTCTGGGAGCAGAGGGGTGCGTCAGGGGTCCCCACGCCGCTCTGGCCCGGGGGGTGGGCACCCGGGCTGTCTGGGAGAAGTCGCTGTGGCCGCGAGCTCGGACGTCCGGGCGCTCCAGGGTGTTTATGGCACAAACATGACGGCGGGGCGGACTCACTGGAGGAATGAGACGGTAGTGACGAGGGGATGGCGCTCGGCACGGCTAAGGGTCCGCCCTAGAGCCGCGTCTGGGCCTCGGGGATGTAGATCTCGATGCTGTCGGCCCGCTCGCTGGCCGAGCTCTGACGGAAGGACGCCGCCCTCTTGGCCGCCGCCAGCCGCCTCCGCGCCTCCTGCCGCTGTCTGTCCGGCAGGTCCAGAGATTTCTCTCTGGTGATGGGGAGTTTCCCTCTGGGGGGCTTCTTTGGTATTGGAGGGGGGACCTTTCTTTCTTCCTGAAAAGCATCACAAGTCAAGAGTGGGGGTCAGAGCAGCCTGGAGCCCTGCCCGCCAGGTCCGTGGTGCCGCCCAGCTCCCGGGGCAGGAAGCCTCTGTGCACGTGGGCCTGGGCCGCGAGCTTGGTCCTGGCACCGTTCTGACCCTGCTGCTGGGTGAACGCTCCCTCACAAACGCACACCCGCTCACCTTCACGGGGGCCTGCATGATGCCACAGACTGCAAGGTCCGAGGAGGTGGAAGCCGCCTCAAGTCCTCTGCCACGGGCCTCAGACCCCTCGACATAAACTACCTATGGGTTTTCACTTGCATAGGAATCGGATGCGAGTAACTGGCTCTGACTCTCAGCTCGTGTTCTCCAACCACAACCCCAAGATCCCAGCATGCCTTTTCCAGAAAGAGAGAGTCTGCCCGCCCCATCCGGCAGCAAAGGAACCCCGGAGCTGGCAAGCGCCCCGGGCGCAGGGGAGGCCTGCGTCCCGCCTGCGCCCTCTGTCTGCTCGGCTGGGCTCGCACACCGGACCTGCCCAGGCGGGAGGGACAGGCCACACGGAGTCCTTGCTGGAAATGGGCGCGGCCTTTTCTAAGCACATGCCCAGCTGCTGGGGAAACCCTCATCTGTCCTTTCTCTTTCAGCCTCCAAAAGGACCCGAAGGCACCAGGGTTCCCAGGCCTGGCCACCATGGCGGATTCAGGGGACACAGGGCAGAACCCGAGGTCTGTCCTACTGTTTTTGGCAGGAAGATAACCTCCGTGTTTGGAGCTTTGTCCTTAGGGCCAGAAGCAATGTCCTTCCCGACTTGATGGCAGGGGTCATTTGGGGTAATTACTTTGCCAAGACTTCCAGCTATTTCAGAATTTAACTCCTGCCCCGAGTGCAGGACTGTACTTGTCTCTGTGCACACCTTCGGGGCCTCTGAAACCTGCGGCTGTGAGAAACCAGTCCTTGTGGGAGCCTCCGCCCACACTGTGAGTCCAAACAGGCTCACAGCTGTCCTGGGGCTGGGGGGGTGGGGGGGAACAGGGGACTTTTATGTATCTTCAGACTAGTTTAAAAGTTGGATTTTTAGTGGTTTCCTAGAGTAACTTTTTCACTGGGAATCATTACTTATGATCGCCTTCATTCACGCCCAAACCATAGATCTCCTGGACTTGCTCACGCACAATCTGGTCATTTGCACGCCCCTCCGCCCCCCGTCTGCAGTGACAAGGGCTTCATCAGCACCTGCGATCGAGCGATGGTCTCTAGCCTGGACTACGGGAGGCACGTTTGAGGGAAAAAGGATGATGATGGTTTGCGTGCTCATCATCCAGATGTACACCCTCAGCTGCACGTTAAACTCCCCTGTCCCAAAGTATCTCGGGTCAGTTTTCTTTGTCATTTTGATTGATAATGCCTGTCTAAGAAAATCAGATTATGATTCTGGAGAACTTCTCTAAGATGCGTCAGGACGTCAATGTCTTTATAGCTAATTCACACCTATTTCTCAGCCTTAGAGAAGATGATACCTAAAGGGAAGAGCTGAAATCACTGGTCAAACTTAATGGGCATTTTCAACCTATCTCAGGGCCAGCTCTACAGGAAGTGTACATCCTTGAATTGTTTAGTGAAGTTTACAGTGTTTTTGTCTCCACAGGTGTCCCTGTAAGCAACCTGAAGCCTCCTGTGGGAACTACCACAGTGCAGTCCACACAGAGGGTGGGGGTGATGGTAATAATTCAGAGGACGGGCCCGACAGGAAACGTGACTGCGAATTCACACGTGGGTTCTGTTGGTGTCTTCTCGGAGCTGTTAGCAAGAAAAGGACTGCTGATGACTCTAGCACCAGCCTGGTTGTGCACACATGGGTTTAGGTGTGACAGCAGACCCTGTCCTGTTAACTGCAGACCGAGACACACGTGGTGATGTGGCGCTTGGAGTGCGTGCAGGGCTTGTGGGCAGGGGTGGGGGCAGTGGGCTCTGTGTGGGGATGCAGCAGGGGCTTACCTGCCTCTCCGGGGACTCAGCCACCTTCCAGTCGCTCAGCTTCAGCTGGTGCAACTCGTCGAACTTCATGCTGACGTCCTGGACGGACAGCTGCAGCATGTCCCAGTAGCCGGCCAGATCCTGGGAGGTGGGCCTGGGCATGGCGCTGGGGTCCTGCCGGACACATGCACAGTTAGGCCACGGAGCCCTCTGGGCGGGGCGGGGGCAGGGGCTGCTCTTCCCAGTGAAGCGGGTCCAGGAGAAGCCCCCGTAATTCAGAATTGGGTGCACATGCTCCTGAGGGCCCATGAGGCTCTGGTGACAGTTTACGTGAGTATTTGCTGACATTTAAAAAATCTGAGATGGGATTCCAGCTGAGCTATTTCAAATCCTAAAAGATGATGCTGTTAAAGTGATGCACTCAATATGTCAGCAAATTTGGAAAACTCAGCAGTGGCCACAGAACTGGAAAATGTGTTTTCATTCCAACCCCCAAAAAGGGCAATGTCAAAGAATGTTCATACTACTGCACAATTGCACTCATTTCACATACTAGCAAAGTAATGCTCAAAATTCTCCAAGCTAGGTTTCAACAGTATGTGAACCAAGAACTTCTATATGTTTAAGCTGGATATAGAAAAGGCAGAGGAACCAGAGATCAAATTGACAACATCTTTTGGATCACAGAGAAAGCAAGAGAATTCCAGAGGAACATTTACTTCTGCTTCATTGACTATGCCAAAGTCTTTGCCTGTGTGGATCACAACAAATTGGAAAATTCTTCAAATGGGAATGCCATGACACCTTACCTGCCTCCTGAGAAATCTGTGTGCAGGTCAAGAAGCAACAGTTAGAAATGGGCATGGAATAATAGTCTGGTTCAAAAGTCAGGAAAGGAGTAAGTCACAGCTGTATATTGTCACCTGCTTATTTAACTTATATGCAGAATATATTAAGAGAAATGCTGGGCTGGATGAAGTACAAGCTGGAATCAAGATTGCTAGGGGAAATATCAATAACCTCAGATATGCAGATGACACCACCCTTACGGCAGAAAGTGAAGAAGAACTAAAGAGCCTCTTGATGAAAGTGAAAGAGGAGAGTGAAAAAGCTGGTTTAAAACTCAACATTCAAAAAACTAAGATCATGGCATCCGGTCCCATCACCTCATGGCAAATAGATGGGGAAACAAGGGAAACAGTGACAGACTTTATTTTGGGGGGCTCCAAAATCACTGCAGATGGTGGCTACAGCCTTGATATTAAAAGACCCTTGCTCCTTGAAAGAAAAGCTATGACTAACCTAGACAGCATATCAAAAAGCAGAGGCATGCCTTTGCCAACAAAGGTCCATCTAGTGAAAGCTATGGTATTTCCAGTATCATGTATGGATGTGAGAGTTGGACTTAAAGAAAGCTGAGCACCGAAGAATTGATGCTTTTGAACTGTGGTGTTGGAGAAGCCTCTTGAGAGTCCCTTGGACTGTGAGGAGATCCAACCAGTCCATCCTAAAGAAGATCAGTCCTGAATTCCTGTCCATCAGTCCTAGAAGGACTGATGCTGAAGCTGAAGCTCCAATACTCTGGCAACCTGATGTGAAGAGCCAACTCATTAGAAAAGACCCTGATGCTGGGAAAGATTGAAGGCGGAAGGAGAAGGGGCCGACAGAGGACGAGATGGTTGGATGGCATCAACTACTCAATGGACATGAGTTTGAGCAAGCTCCGGGAAATGGTGAAGCACAGGGAAGCCTGACGTGCTGCGGTCTGTGGGGTCTCTAAGAGTTGGACGTGACCGAGCAGTTGAACAACAGCAAGTCTGAAAAGTCTGCATTCTGTGTGGCTCCAGTTGTAGGACATGCTGGAAAGGGCACAACTATGGAGGCAGGGAAAAGCTGAGAGGTGGCCAGGGGCTGAGGGAGGACAAGGGGTGACCAGGGGGAGCACAGAGGATTCTCAGGGCTGTGAGACCATTCTGCGTGTCACTGTCCTGGTGGACACATGTCATATATTTGTCTAAATCCACAGACTGTCCAACACCAAGAGTAAGCCCCGATGGAAACCATGGACTCGCAGTGATGGTGATGGATTTGTGCGGGTTCACCAGTCGTAACACACAGACCATCTGGTGGGGCTGGTGTGTGGCAACAGGGAGTACGTGGCATTTTCTCTGTATTTTTCACCCAGTTTTGCTGTGAATCTACAATGGCCCAAAAAACATCTATCAACGTGGTTGAAAAATGGGCAGAGGATCTGTCTTCCAAGGAAGACATGCAGATGGCCCCCGGGCACATGAAAAGATGCTCGGCATCACGAATCATCAGAGGAATGCACAGCAAAACCACAGTGAGGTATCACCTTGCACCTGTCCCAGTGGCCATCATCAGACAAGAAGTAACAAGGTTTTGAGGATGCAGAGAGAAGGGAGCCCTTGTGTGCTGCTGGTGGGAACATAGATTGATGTAGCCCCTGTGGAGAACAGTATGGAGTATCCTCATGAAACTAAACATGCAGCTAGCAGACAACCCAGCGGTGCACTCCTGGGTATTATCTGAAGGAAACGACAACACTAATTCAGAAAGACACATGCACTCCCATATTCACTGCAAGACCATTTACAATCGCCAAGACATGGAAGCAGCCGAAGTGTCCTTCGGCAGAGAGGATGCCATGCATATATATACTGAAATACTACTTCAGTATAACAAAGAATGAAATCTTGAAATCTGCAATAACATGTAAGTCAGACAGAAAAATGCTGTATGACTTCACTTGTATGTTGAACCTAAAAATCAAAACAAAGGGACAAACGTAAGAGACGGAAACAGAGTCGTAGATACAGAGAACAAACAGGTGTTTGCAGAGGGGACTGGGGATGGGGGTGAGAAATAAGTTCGGGAGATAAGTAGGTACAGACTGTCATCTGCAAAATAAGAGTCATGGGAATGAAACGTACAGTGTGGGGAATCCAAGAATAATTGTGTAGCCTCTTTGTACGGCGACATATTGTAACTATAGACTTACTGTGTTGATCAGTTTGAAACTCAGATCACTATGCTGTGTATCAGGAACTAACATGGTGCTGCAATTCAAAAAACAAAGAAGCAAACTCATAGAAAAAGGGACCAGATTTGTGGTTACCAGAAGTAGGGGTGGGGTGGGAGGAGGGAGAATGCCATGAACGTGGCCAAAGGTACGAACTTCCAATAACAGGATAAACCAATACTAGGAATGTGAGGTATAGCACGGTAAATACAGTCAACACTGCTGTCCCTTATGCGCGAAAGCTGTTAAGAGAGTAAATCCTGAAGGCTCTCATCACAAGGAAAGCTACATTTTTCTACTTCTTCGTGTACCCACAAGACGTGATGGATGTCCTCTCAGATTATGGTGACAATCATTTTATGATGTATACCAGTCAGATCGTGGTGCTGCACCCCTAAATTTATCCAGTGCTGCATGTTAATTGTATCTCAACACAACTGGGAGAAAATGCTTTCTCAGAACCTGGGGATGGTGGCGCCTGTGAAGGTTTCGATGCCTGGACAGTTCTGGCGGCCGGAGGCCCTCTGGTTCTGGGTGCCTGTGAGGCTCCTGGGCAGGGTCTGTGGTGGTGCTGGAGGTGGAGGGCACTGGGGAGGTGGGGCCTGTTTCCTTCTGTCCTCTGAGGGGTCTCAGCTCTGCTTCTGAAGGTCAGAGACACCCCACGTGTGCACCATGGATGCCGTTGCCCCGGCCTGGAGGGAGGGCTTGGCAGGTCAGGTTCCTGCCGAGTGGCGCACGGGCAGCCAAGGGTGGATGTGGCCCCAGACGGGTTTGCTCCTGCACACGCTCATCAGGGCACTGACCCACTCATGGGGCCTCACCATGTGAGCTTCACCCCGCAGCCCCCTCCTGCCACCCTCACCGGGGCCAGGACTCGACGTGTGAATGCTGGGGGACACAGACGTCCAGTCCTGGTTCCATCTCCACACCCACGAGGTCACTCTCTGGGCGCTGTCCATCCTGCCCGACGCAACCAGATGGCAGCTGTGCTGACCTGCCGGGAGGGGGTCAGAACCGCCGTCCAAGCCACTTGCACACAAAGCCCTCGTTTTCTGCTCAGAGTGAGAATTCCAACTCCGGGGTGGCTGTTTACTGTGTGAGGACCTTCTCCACTGAGCCACCAGGGGGCGACCTGACGGGCAGGTGCAGGTTCCCGTCAGGGTCAGGGTCGGGTGGGGTCGGGTACAGAGTCAGGGCGAGGTGCAGGGTCAGGGTCATGTTAGGGTCAGGCTCAGGGTCAGGCACGGGAGGGCTCATCAGGTTGCCGGGCCTGGGTTGTCATGCACTTGCCTGAGTCTGAGCTCAGCCACTGCTTGTGAAGGAAAACAGTGAAGGCCTTGCTCTGGGCTGTGCCTTGCAGGTGATGGGGTTTGGGGGGACTAACAGGGGCTCCCTGGACAGCTGGGGCTGGCAGGGTGCTTCTCCCCCTGACAGCGGGTCCTGAGCCGCGTGTCCTCCTCCTGGAGGACGAAGCCAGCACAGCGATCCCTCCTCCCCACCCCACCCCCTACAGGGGCAGGTGTGAAGGGCCTGCGCGTGTCTGAGGATCAGGTCGCCCAAGAGTGAACTCCGGGGTCACTGGGCCTCCGCTCTGGGCTCTGGGGGGCAGAGGCCATGGTCCTGGTGGACCCCAGTATGGTCAGGGTCTGCTCTGTGTCCTCTGCTTCTTTCTGGGAGGCATGGCTATGTCTGTGTCCCCGGACACTCACGCGCCCTGGTCTGTTTGTAAGCCTTGTCTGTCACATTGAGGTGGGCCAGGCCAGTCCCCTCTCCCGGCAAGTGTGCAGAGCCGTCCATCCCTGTTGACTGCACGCAGGGCCCCGGGGTGCTGCCCGGCCCCAGCATGGGGGGTCCTGGGATGTGGGCTCAGATGCTCTGTGTTTTAGAACATTCTCTGGGAGCTGTGTGTCCTGAGAAGGGCTGAGGAGAGACCATGGTCTCATTCAAGTGCAGCGTTAGACCTGCAGTCTGTGTGTGACTCCGTCTCTCCCAGCTCTGGGGTTGCTGGGCCGCTGGCCTTACGGCCACAGGGGTCCACCCGCTAGTGTCAAGGGCAGGCCCTTCCCAGAGTCCATCCTCAACAGCTAGTGGGTCTGACTCACTCCCTGGGGCCATTCCGTTGACTTAGAACTAGAGCTGCCGATGAGGACAGTGTGGTTTTGATGAGCAGGGCCCTGCCGGCACTGTCAGCAGCCCCCCTGCTGACGGTCCGCCCAGAGCCCAGCAACCTCCTCCAACGAGTGCTCTGGGCTTTTGGTCCAACCCTACATGGAGGCTGCACGAAAAGGAAGCGGTCATGCCAGACTTCCTACGGCCAACACAAAGTGCAATCTGACGTGTGTAAGAGGCGTCAAGGATGAGGCTGGATAATTCTCAGGTCTAGTACCAGCTGCATCTGGCAGAGAAGATGTGCATTGCTCACAGCTGGAAGACCGTTACTGTGCTGCATGGAGATTCCTGAAGACACAGACAACCCTCCCACCGGCTCAGCGGAACAGGGACCACGCCCCCCGGTGGCCTGGGTCAGTCCTCAGCGATGGCGATGGGGTGGGGCCGAGGGGGCAGGACACGCCTGGGGGACGGGAGTGCCGAGTGTTCCTTTCAGGGACCCTGAGCATGCCTGTCCCCCGCTCTTAAATGTTGATTGTAACTTCACATCAGAGGAGACCAGGTGCTAACGCTTTAAATCTCATGATGAACTGGAATGGGATTAATGGAAAATATTGGAGAAAACATTCTTTTTAATGATCCCGATGAAGAGGGATGAATTGGCAACTCTGATGTGCTAGGCTGCCTCCATGTGGAAGAACATGCTGCAAACTCACAGGCCTCCTTGTGAATTTAAGAACGGAGCAAAACAAGGTCGAGGCACCGTGAACTGCTGCTTGGGTGATAATGAAAATGTTTGGTCTGAAAGAGGTCAGTGTACGGATTATAAATGAAAATACATAGAAGAGGTTGTAAAGCAGTGTGAATACCATTCAGCTGTTACTCTTCTATGACTGTCTCCAAATAATTATTGTTTCTCCAAAATAATATCAAGTGAGTACTTTCTTTGGTCAGATAAGGAAAAGTATGTGTGTAATGATACGTATTTATATTTATTTATACATAATATTGTATATATGTAAGCATTCACATTAGAATATATATATGTGTATATAATATATATATATATTTCCTTTTATTTTCAGGAAGATCAGAACCAAGTTTAGTGCAACCGTATTTCCTAACTTAGTCCACAGTGTTTCAGTTCACTCCTGCCTGTAACATAAAGCCGGGACTGCTCCTGGAATCCCCTGCCTGTCTCTCTCAGTGTGGCTGCTTACGTGTTTCTATTGGAGTCACCTCCTGGCGCTGCCTTCACCAGGACATCCCCATGACATGATTCACGCTTGTCCCCCTGCCTGGGGTTCCCAGGGGCAGGCCGGTGGCCAAGGACACTCTCGTGGCTGGGGGCCGACCGCCCTCTGCCCACTGCGCCCCTCCCTCGCCCACAGCCAAGGCCTTTCTGCTTTGGCCCCTGGAGCTGGGCGCATCCCCATCCTTCACCAGGCCGCGCCCCCGCAGTGGTCCTTCACAGCGGACAGGGCAGAGGTGAGGGCGGAAAGAGTGGACACCCAGCCTGCTGACCTGCACCCTAGGGTCTTGAGGGGGTACTCACCATGTTCTGCTGGCAGAGCCAGTAAAACTGCTGGAACTTCTGGGACATCAGCAGCTGGGCGCTCCCCACGGCGCTCCGGATCTTGCCGAGGACTGTGGACACACACAGGGTTATGGGTGGGTCGGTGGGGGCCAGGAGAGAGGCGCCATGCAAGGCGGCCCTCCCGCGGCGGCTCCATGCCCTCGCGTGCGTGCGGTCGTGTCCAGCTGCAGCCCCACGGACTGTGCCCCCAGGCGCTTCTGTCTGTGGGATTCTCCAGGCAAGAGCACTGGAGGGGGTCGCCATGCCCTCCTCCTGGGGATCTTCCCTACTCAGGGATCGAACCCTCATCTCCTGCATTGGCAGGTAGGTTCTTTACCACTGAGTCACCTGGGAAGCCATTATCCTCAGTCACTGGAGGTGAAAACTTTGAGCTTACTGTGTGGAACGGTCACCAGTTGAGCCATCTTTCCATCTGGTCCATCCTGATCCATGAAGGAAATTCAAAGATGACCAAATACTGACTATCAGGACACCTCAGTGTGGGGGGAAATTTACCTTTGAAAGGTCCTGCTAGCCCACCCAGCCCCTCAGGAGTAAGCTAGCTGGCAGGGACCCTGGCCCCTCACATCACCCTGCTGACCCCTGGAAGCGTGTACTAGGATGTCCTGCCTCGGGCACCTGGTGGCCAGCTCACCAGGGCTGTCAGCAAGGGTCAGTTTAATCTACGAAGGATCTCAAGTTGTAAGAACTTAATTAATCAAAGGGCACTTTAAAAAAGTAAGTAATACAGCCTTGTCAGTGGAAAGGACTTAACCACTTACTGGATAGTTGTGCTGACTTAGGGATTTGAACTGGGCAAAAGAAAGATTTCTGGCATGAAAATTTTGGGAAACCCCACACCCACTCCCTCCAAGTGCCTCGTCACTTCCCATCATTCTGCCCCAATCCTGGCCTGTGTGAACATCATCATTATTTCAGAAATAACAGCTTTGGGAGACCCCAACTCCCATGATTCTCAGAGGCACTTAGGCATCTGGAGGCAAACGCTTCTGGCCTATGTACCTGGGCCCTTGTTTCTGGGGTTCGGTCTAAGAGGCCATCCCCAGCTACTCCCCTCTGAGGGCAAGTGTCTCCTCTCTTGAGTCCCCTTCAAGACCCGCACAATACAGATAACAACCAGCTACACAGAGCCCCTGCCATTCCATGTGGGGCCAGCTTGTCTCCAGCCCAGGGAAGAGGGGAGCCTTCCGAGACAAAGATCTTAGCCGAGAGCTTGTCTGGCACGAAGCGGACACTGAACCATCACCACCAACAGGGTGTTTCGGTACTTGTGGTACGTGTCCTACTGGGACAGAAAACAGCCGTGGAACAGAAGGCCCGGGGCACCATCGTGCTTACAGGGTGAGCACCCGGCCCCGGACAGCGTGTCCACCACGTGGTGCTCTCCTGGGGTGGGGTGGGGGTGGGGGTTAGTGGCCTGAACGCTCCTGAGTTTGCCTGAATTTTCTGACTTGTCTGGATTGCTGTTCCCCAAAGCTTGTTGTGACAGAGTACTTGAAACAAAGTACCACCAGCACCTCCGCTCCATCTCTTGGAATCGCTATCTCTGTGCGTGTCTGTCTTTCTGACTCTCTTGGAGATGAGCTGTAGCCAACGCCTCCCTCACCAGCACCCTGCACAACCACAGAGCCACGGCCCTTCCTAAGAAACCAATGCTTCCCTAATGTCACCCAATTCTTGGGTGCTTCTAAAATGTGAACAAGAGTTAAAACTGTAACTTTCAATACCAGTGAGTTCACTAGATAACACCACGGCATCCTTTCAGACTTGAACGAAACAGAAAGCTGTCTTGTCAGCGTCCTGATGCCCACAGCCTGCTGCAGGGGGGCTTGCTCCCCGCCCCCCCCCGGCCTGCTCACCTCCCCCAGCTCCGGGCAGTGGAGGGGATACAGGGTGGGAAGGCAGAGGGGCCGGAGCACAGCCTGGAAGGGCTGAAAATATTTCCCACCTGGTTCACAATTTGGCTCCCAAACTGAACATGTTTTGATTTCCATTTGTAAACCCTTGTAACTTGCAGGACTGACAAAAACCTTTAAAGAGACTTGTTTTAACCAAATGGTCACTGTACGAATATGTAGAAGTGACTCACATATAAATGCATTTTTTTTTCACTGACGCTATGCTTGCTGAAGTGATAATTAAAAAGTCAATCAGTTAAACCAATGGCATTGTGATACAAAGCAAAACAAACAAAAAGAAACCCCCCAAAGGAGTGTGGTTTCTGAAATAAAAGGAAAGTTTCCAGAGTCACAAACATCTTACTCCACAGGTTCATAAGAAAGATGAACAGCACAAGGAAGTCAACAGTGGGGTCGTCTGTGAGGTGTCGTGATGCTGGACTTTCAGTCCCCATTTTTCACATTCTTTTTAAAAGGCACCTCAATGGAAGTATTAATATACAGGACTTAATAAACTTTAGCACAGCATGGATAGGGGGTGATGTCTGGGTGTTGATTTAATAAAGTGGAGACTTATTATAAAGGGTATACACTGATTATTGCTCGGGAGAGATAAGGAATGTCAGATAGTGGCTACTGGCCTGATGGCTAATGGCAGGGAATCTGTGCTTATCAGCGCAGATGGCTCTATCTGACACCTACAATGTAAATAATAGCTTCCCATAATTGCAAAGAATTTGAAGCAAAAAATCAATTTATTCTTTTCCACTGAAGTGAAGTCGCTCAGTCGTGTCCGACTCTTTGCGACCCCATGGACTGTAGCCTACCAGGATCCTCAGTCTATGGGATTTTTCAGGCAAGAATACTGGAGTGGGTTGCCATTTCTTTTCCACTATCCTTCCCTAATTCTGTCATAGTTTAACCACTTTCTTTTAAGAGCTACAGATAAGGGCTCATGCTCATCAGAATGCAAATTTACAAAGAACCGGAGACAACCCAGGCCTTTGATGTACAGAGAAATTTGATTAACTGACTCGCTCCTTTAATTTATTTTTCACACCTGTTCTACAATTTCCAACTCCACCTAAATCTACTATGAAGTGCCAGGGCAACACTAACACTATTCTTTTGAAATTCGAGGTGGGCTTTTCTAGCATTTGTACACAGTTTGAGGTGGTCACTTGGAGATCCACGACCCCATGGGTCTCTCGGATTCCCTCCAGACCCAGGCGTGGGGACGCGCCCGAGTCCACAAACCCCCGGCGAAGCCTCAGGCTTTCTCAGCTTCCTGTTTCTCGAGCACACGCCTCCTCTCAGGCTCGCTTTGCCGCGGCCCCGGCGGCCGGGGCGGCCCGCGCGCTGACCGCACCCTCAGCGGGCGCTGCGTCCTGTCAGAGGCGGGGCCTCGGGCTCGCGGTGACCGGGCAGGCCCCGGCTGGAAGCGGCGGTGCTCGGAAGCCGTCCCACTTCTGACCTTCAGTGTGCGGACTCCCGGGCAAACCGCAGCCCCAGGGCAGTGTCCCTGTGGCCCGTCCTCCTCACCCCCTTGGTCCCCGAGTCCCCCGGGTCACTGTGATTACCACCAACGGCACGGTGCCCGAGCGGGACCAGAGAGCATGGACCTCCAGGGAAGGAGGTCTGGGAGACCTGCAGCGAGCATCGAACCCCAGCTCTGGCAATAACGTGGCGAGTGAGGATGGGGGTCCCTCAGATGATGAGGTCTCCCGGAGCCTTGAGCCTGCGGTCTGTGCCTCTGGCTGGGAGATCTTCAGATTAGAGCTCTGGGGCAGAGATGTTTGGGGGCAAGAGAACACCCCAGCACCTCTCAAAAGACCCCACTGCGCAGTTCCTCAGGCCATTCATCTTTTTACAAACCTGCTGAGTAAGATCTTTGTGGCTCTGGAAACTTCCATTTCAGAAAACATACCTTTTTTTATTTTTATTTTTTTGATTTTACTTTATGCCACTTACCCATTTGGTTTAACATAATTAACACAAAAACCGCAAAACACTAGTCTAGTGGTTTACAATCCCTGCAGAGTGTCTGTTTATGGATTAACCTGCTTTAACATGATCTAACTTATACCAGTATTTAAAAGTTCTCATGATATTTTTGTTAACCGTAGAGAGCTGAGTGAATCTGAATTTGTTCTATCAATTCAGTGAGCTGTGGTTATAAAATAATAGCTTGGGAGAAAAGTTATCTCACATAATGGAAATTTCAATATTTGGAGCTCAGGGTTTTGGTTCAACAGTCATTTAATTTAATCTTCTCTTTTTAAAAGGACTGTAACCAAGAAACGTGTACCTGTTTTTAAAGTGAGGAGTGGAATAGAAAGTTATCTCACCATTAACCATTACTAGGGAATCACTTAAACGTGACCAATACGGCGCTCGGTTAATGTGTGAAGCATACAGTTGAGATTCAAAGCAAGCATTCTCTCATCTTTGGCACAAAAAATAAAGGTGGGTAATGAAGAAATTGAGAAAATCACAGAAAGGATCAGGTAGACCTGTTCGCTGCTCTTTGAATCCGAGGCTCCTAAGGAGATGTGATTTCACGTAGTTATGAAACAGTGGCAGGAAAACCCCGTGGAGTCACGGTGACTGAGCTGGTGTCTGGAGGGGGGGCCCCGCCTGGCTGAGGGCGGTGTCAGGGCACACGGGGTTTTACATGCTGTGTTGTGCAGAGGCGTGAGTAGGGGTGGCACCCTCTGTGCGAAGACTGACCCCCTTCCCTCTTCCTCCTCCTCTCACCGCCGAGGCTTCTGCTGGGCACCGCCAGCAGACGCTCAGCGTGTCTGGGCGCCGCCGGAGGATGCTCAGCATATCTGGGCACCGCAGGAGGACGATTAGTGTATCAAGTGTGATTGCCCAAGAGCCTAAGACCAGGCAGAGCTCCAGGAAAACGCAAAGCCGTCCCCACCTTTGAGAGGGGCGTGTGCCCGTGTGCCTGTCCTCAGGCATGACAGAGCCAGGGGCTCCGGAGGTCAGGACCAAGCTCCCCAGGCAGATACAGAGCCTATGTCTGAGGAAGGGCCTTCCTGGAGGGTCTCTGGCCTGGCTCTCTGCCCCTGCTCCTGCCCTGATATTTTCTCGCCTGCCTGACCAGTCTCCCTGCCCTCAAGGTCCGCCCAGACTCCCCCGCCACCAGGAAGACTTCTCAGACTGCCCTGCTGGCAGCATCTGCTGGACCTGGGGGTGTTTCCAGCGCTGGGTCTGCACCGCTCTTACCACGCACACGTTCCTCACTCACTAGAAATGCCTTTGTGCTGGTCTTACCCACTCTGCGGTCCCTGCTCTGTGCTGAGCGCTCATCAGTCTCCACCTGCAGTCTATGAGACAGCTCCTCCCATTGCGCTCAGCAAATGCCTGCTGGGGCTTCATAGGACACAGAGTCCAGGAGAAGATCCCAAAGGTGCAAGCAAGGTGAAAAAAATTGTGTAGAGAAATGCAGCTGACGGACAGCAGAAGCCCCCTTTCCTCTGCCGGGTTGAAGGAGAAACGTGTTCTCTAGATGCTGATAATAAGGTGATGACAACCTAGGTGACAGGATCTTACTGTTGATCCGGGTCACTGCAGATCATCAAGTCATACACAGGATGTTCACGGCATTACTTCCAGGATTTTCCCGACCACCCCCAGTGACAAGAAATTCATAACTTATCAGGACAAGGCTTCAGTGCTGGGGACTTTTAATGTCATCTTTTAATTCCCAGGGCCTAAGGCACAAGCCAAGTGTGTATTTTATTGCTCAGGGATCCTCTCTGAACCACAAATGAGGGTGACGGATTCAGAGAATCAGAATGAAGTAAATGGCCAGGGATGAGGCATGGCATTTTCTGAACAGCAGAAGACACTCCATCACTAGCTAGGAGGTCAGTCACCATCTCCAGCTTTTCTCTGACACAAAGCCAAAGCAATTTCTTTTAACACGGGACAGTCACAAGTCTAGAAAACAGTTGAATTGTTGCCCATCATCATTGCCAAAATTCAGAGAACCAGCACATGGACCCTGAGATAACCTGCAGTCCCAAGAGCCCTGTGGGCCTGAGCCATCCTGCTATCCAGCACACAGCACGGAACAGAGGGATGCCCGTCAATATCTCAGCCACTGCTTTTCTGTTCATTTGCTTGCATCTTAGCTCGGGTGGGATATGGTGGGAGCCCATGTACTTTAATTTACTCAGGGATCAAAGGGACTGTCCTCATGGATTTCATTCACCACGTGCTCATTTGCTTTATGGAAACCTGGCGAGTGTCTTCAGGCCTCAGCAGAGACCGGCCTCTTACCTTCCTCCACGAGGTCGTTCTCCTCGGCTTCCCTCTCCATCTCCTTGCACCAGCCCTCCATCCGCTTCGTCTCTGTGTGCAACAGCTTCAGAAACCACGCACCGTCCCTGTGGCACGGGGACGCGCGCCCGCCGTCCACCGCGTCCAGGGCCGGCTCCAGCCAGGGGTCGGGAGGGGGCAGGCTGGCAGTGTCCACAGGGGTCCGGTAGTCCTCCCGGTAACTGAAGAGCCCCTGGGTCCGGACGGTGCGCACCGCCCCATACTGCGTGGGGGTGCTGGGCTCCGAGTGCCTCTGGAAGGAGGACCCGAACTGCAGGCCCTTGTCCTCCGTGGCGACGTGTCCTGGGAAGCCCTCCAGCTCCAGGTCCGCCTGCACCCCAGCCGTCACGCTGTTGGAGCGCTTGAAGCGTCCGTGTCTGCAGGGGGGTGGGGGGAGACAGACGGGAGCTTGTCGGAGATGACCCTGAGCCACAGAGCCCAGCTTACACATCTGGAGCAGGCTGGGCCACACGCCAGCCTCGTGGTGGAGACGAGTGGTTTCATCTTTGTTATCAGCACACTGGTGTTTCCTCTGTGTGAGAGCTTTATTTGACTTTGCAAAGAATGAAACTCTAACTTTTACCTAAGCTTCAGTGGCTAAGTGATGCCCACTGAAGACTTAAGTTTACCACAGGTGGCTTAATCTATTCCTGAAACCACTGTCTTGGGGTGCTTACCTGCCTTTCAGAAATACGTGACAGGCTTACACATTTCTGTGTGTTGTGTGTATGTAAAATGAAGCCCCACTGCTTCTTTCAAGTACATAATTCTTTTAAGTAATAACATCTGTGTCTTGTTGAGTTCTGGTGGCTATTCATATCATATTTCAGGACATGAGCTTCTCTCTGAATAATGCAGTATCATCTGGTTATGTCTTTTATGCAAAATAATGAATCCAAATTCTGACTTCAGCAGGTGTTTAAAAAACATTTTCATTGTATGTATTTAAATGTCACTCATTCCTCATAGCCAGTTACTGAAAGGACTGGCAAGAATGAACTTATAACTGGAGCCCAGATTTTGCTGGTGAGAACTATGTGTGTGTGTGTGTGTGTGTATGCATGTGCATGCATGTCTGTATGCATGTGTGTCTGTGTGTGTGCACGCATGAGTATGCCTGTGTGTGTCTATGTGTGCATGTGTACATGTGTGTGTGCGTGCATGTGTGTCTGCACACCTAAACTCTGCCAAGCCACACAAGTTGGCTCCTCACCAGCTGGACGTGCAGATGGCAGGCAGCTGTGTGTGCAGCTGGCTAATGGATGTGCCTTTGCTGGAGGCAAGGCGCTGAGAAAGAGCCACCAGCGGGGACGGGGGGCCGCGAGCCCAGGTCCCGGGGCAGAAGACATGGTTTCTGAGAGGCCCCCATCCTGGGGAAGCTATCAGTTTGTGCTCTTGATTCCTTGGCAGTCCACATCTTTGCAGGTTGGTCTAAAACCCTCACTGTGAGTGACTCACCAGGGTTTTAACAACGAGATGCTGCCTGGCACTCACGATGTGATATGCCCATCAAATCTGTCTTTATGAAACTTACAAGATACGCTATTTTAAATATAAAATAATCACCCTATCCTACTCTTGTCGTGGACTTCTCTGTGCTGGGCAGCGTGAAGGCTTCTTTTGAAGCGTCACCATCCTAAGGATTCTTCAATCTTTCACTCTCCCTCTCTCTGTGGTTGTACTGTTAACATCCTAAGGTGGGAAAACCTGCGCTGCCTTTACGCTCATCCTTTTCCCCTTTGGGTGAAGGACTCTGGTGTTCAGAGCTGCCAGCCCCTCTGCTTTCACAGGTGGTAAAGTTACTTTAGAAAAAAATGAGTACCTGGCCTCTAGCAGAAACAAAGCTCAGAAGGATGCTAATTCATACCCGAATGATATCCACTGAGTTAGGGCTAGGGATATATGACCCTGTCTCCACAAACGGCATGAACCGTTGATGGCCAGTGCTGTCCAGACACTCGCCATCACGTTTGTAACCTGCAGCCCTGCTCAGAGGCCCCGGGAGTCTGAAGTGGTTACCTTTTCTCATCTTCCACCTGGACGCCCACCGAGTGGTACTCCCGCAGCCCCCGGCTCTCCGTGTCGGAGTCTGTAGCCGTCTCCACCTAGTGCAACAGAGAACATTTTATTTTACAACCAAGACAGGGACCTGGACCAGGGACTATTTGTGTGTGTGTTCATCTGCCATAATTAATTGCGCATTTGTGTAATTAATGCAGAGATGCACTTGACCCAGGAAAACAACAACGGGAGGGAAACGCACTCGTGCTGCTGTAATTATGTTGCTACCGTGTTTCATCAAATTGTGCATGACCCCCTAACTCAACGCTGAGCCTCCACCTTCTAAATGTATGCAAATAAAATTGCTTTGCTTAGCTTGGGTGAAAAACAGGCTGTGTTGGATTGCATTATGAGAGGACTTAAAAAGCTCTTGTTACATCCTGCAGGTACAGCATGAACCAGATAGAGCTAACACAACATACGGGCTGTTGAATAGGACGGTGGTGATGACGGCATCCACATACATGACATACGGAAGAGCTGAAGCTTTACCAGCCCCGGGCAACCCCTCCACCCGCCTCGAAACAGCGCTGTCTGCTCACAGGATGTGCCCGGGCAGGGCAATGCCGCAACAGAACAGAAAGCTTGCACTCCACACACAGTCCTTACGGTGGCTGCATTTGCCGAGAAGTCTCCCCGAGCCCAAGGAAGCATTTGTGGTGCAACATTAACTCACGAGAGAACTCTAGTAGCGTAGTTTCTAAAAAAAATAACCAAAACTCCAAAAGCAAACAACCTCCCGCTCCCAAACTCTCAGTATGAAAATTCTGCCCCAGAAGAGTAAATATACGACCTTGAGTAAATATATGACTAAACAACCAAAGATTAGTTTAATTGAATGCTATTCCAGCTTCTATATAGTCCCTTTTCTTTTTTTTTTTTTTGCAAGAAATAGTACCTATTGTCTCAAAAGGTGTTTTGACTGCAGTCCACAAATGTCAAAACTAAACTGTCAAACACATCTTTTCTTAAAAACATTAGTGACCATTGCAAGGGTAACACACAAACCATGAGACGAGTAACTGTGACACCCTCTCCTGCTAGTGATGAGAAGAGGTGCCCTGGGCAGTCGTGGCCGGCTAAGCCTTTGTCGCCGGGGGCTGACGCGGTTTGTGATGAAGCGCAGTTGTGCTGCTAAGAGCTGGTGTTTGTTTTCTGCTGATCCGGCGCCAGGCGCTGAGCTAAGAGCAGGCAAGTGTTACCACAGCTGGTGCACATGATACCCTGGGTCCAGCCGCATGGAACACTTGAGGAATCAGAGAGGTGAGTAACTTGCCCAGGGGTACACAGCTTGTAGGGGGCAGAGGCATGCTCAGCATCTGCTGTGGCCAAAGTCAGCACGGCCTGTGGAGACCCTCCAGCTCCTGGGATGGGGCGGGCCCGGGGGTGGCCCTGTGGAGCCTGGGACAGCGGCAGTGCAGCGGTCAAGAAGCCACCTGCAAGGCAGGAGCCTCAGGAGACGCAGGTTCAGTCTCTAGGTGAGGAAGATCCTCTGGAGGAGGGCATGGCAACCCACTCCAGTATTCTTGCCTGAAGAATCCCATGGACAGAGGAGCCTGGCAGGCTACAGTCCATGGGGTCGCAGAGTCGGGCATGACTGAAGCGACTTAGCACACACGCACAGGAGGACATGTGTTTGAGTGAAATTCCTAACCTGCTGGTAATCACCACGTCTTTCTAGTTTCAAGTGGGTCATGGCTGACATAAATGTTACCTTGCTGTATGTGGACACTGTTGTTACTATTGTTTTACACAAAAAGATTGCAATAAGTTAATATGTTATTTCTATCAACAGATGAATGGATCAATGTTGGTATAAGTATTACATTACTCAGAAATTAAAAAAAAAACAACAAAAAACAGTTACATGGAAAAATTTAAATATATCTCCAAACAGCATTTAAGCAAATAAGGCCAGGCCAAACAAATTGCTCAATTTCAATTACATTAAATTACAGAACAAGCATAACTTTTAACATAATTTACCTTATGTTAGAGTAGTTATGCTTATTCTATGATAGAAATTAGACCAGTGGTTGCCCGAACCGGGGTTTGGAAAGATAAAACCTCAAATAGTAGCAAAGATACTCTTTGGGGTGAGAGAATTGTTCAATATCTTCATAGTGATGGTGTTTATACTGATATGTACACTTATCAAAATATACACATAAGATATGTGCAATTTTATGTTAACTCTGTATCAATAAAGTTCATATTAAAGGAAGAAAAAAAATGTTAAAAATGTTATCCATGTCAGTGAAATATGAGCTGCCTGTGTTCTAGCTTCTGTTCCGTTCTATGACTATAACCTGATTTATTTAGTTAGATATGACTAGTTTTCTGCCACTATAAATAATGCCGTTGAAGATCTATGTCTGTGCATGTACGTAATTTTGTGACTATATTCACACCCTCTGTGGTGGCAGGTGCAAAGGCATTCCATTTTGCCATTCTGGTAGATACTGCTGAATTTGAGAGATACACAATATGGGTGAAATTACTTCATTTGTATAGTTTCAGGGAGACGTTTGTATGGAAAGAGCACTAATTTTTATCATAAAAATGTTGAGAATATTTGCCTCATTACTTCCAGTCCTAGGAGTCTAGTCTAAAGAAGTTTCCTTGAATTCTAACATATTAAAAGGTGAGAGTGGGGGAAACAGGAGGACAGGATACTGGCAACATTGAGTAAGTTTAGGCTGCTCACAACACAGACACCGGTGCGGTTATGATGGATGAAGCCATGAAGATGCTGACGCCACAACACAGACTCAGGAGCGTGCATCAGCAGGTGGCGTGAACGATCCAATCACGAGACGTGTGTTCACACGTAGAACACACACATCCGCACAGCGAGAAACTGACCGTAAAGTGACCAAACCAAGCAAAATATCACAAAATAATTCATCTTCTTTTCTCTGGTGTGTACAGCTTCTCTCTTATAGTTCTCTTATTTACAGTGAATGAGAAAAATACAGCTTTTGGAGTCAAATTCTGCCACTTGCTGGCCATGTGACACTTAGGTAAGTCTCAGATTCTATGGATCTTGTCTTCCTAATTTCAAAAGTGAGGGATCAGCAAACACGGGGTTAATGAGTGTGAAACTGTGTGAGGCCAGGTTCAGGTAGGTTCTCCAAAGCAAATCTAACGCTCCCTCCCTCACCTCCACTTTTAAGATCCACAGATATAGTAATGATATACTAAGTTAAAGGAATATATAATGAATTTTATAGATATTACAGTGGTTGTCATATGAAACCATTCTAACAAAAAAAGGGTCTCCATTTTTCAGAAGGTAAAGGTGGAGGGGGATGTGATCAACTTGCATAAAGCCAGGATGAGCTAAATATTTATCAATTTCAGAAATCTTGGGAGAGCTTTATGAAGATGGGGAAAATCAAATTTAGGACAAAGAAAAGGAATTATTATTTTGCATAGTGGGAAGGAAATCAAAGGAATATTTTCCAAAGAGAAAATTCTGACGAAAAGTGTAAAAGGATTAGAAAAATTTTGAGAAATATATGTACATATTCATTTTTATAAGAGCCATGGTGTTTTAGGGGCTTCCCTGCATCAGTGGTAGAGAATCCTCCTGCCAAGCAGGAGACCTGGGTTCGATCCCTGGGTGGGGAAAATCCCCTGGAGAAGGAAATGGCAACCTACTCCAGTATTCTTGTCTGGAGAATCCCATGGACAGAGAAGCAAAGGTGAGTTACAGTCCATGGGGTCGCCAAAAGTCGGACACAACTAATCAACTAAACAATAACAGGAAGGGTGTACTGGGCATGGAGAAGAAAGATGAAGTCCGCAGAACCTGCATATGTGAGTGACCTCTCTGAAGCAGGTGCTGACTGGAGGTGCCTGCTGGTGAATGGGGACGGATCCTCCCTGTTGCCACGTGAGTGGTGGGCGCTGGGCTCCTGGAGCACTCGCCTCCTGTCCCTGGGCCATGACAGAGGGGTTGACACTGAGCCACAGGCCATGAAGAACGGGGGAAGGGTGCATGAGAGTGCATGTGTATGAGTGTGCACGTGTACATGTGAGTGCACACCTGTGGCCGTGCATTTGTGTGCATGCATATGTGTGTACATGAGAGTGCAAACATGGACGTGTGTACATGGGTACACCTGAGTGCACATCTGTGGGCATGCCTGTGTGTGCACACACACGTGTGCATATGCACATGTGTGTACACAAGGGCGCAAATGTGAGAGTGTGTATATCTGTACATGCGAGCACATGTCTGTGGGCATGCCTGTGTGTGCATGCACACGTGTGCACATGAGAGTGCAAACATGGACGTGTGCACATGGGTACACCCGAGTGCACATCTGTGGGCATGCCTGTGTGTGCACGCACACGTGTGCACATGCACATGTATGCACACGAGGGTGCAAATGTGAGAGTGTGTATATCTGTACATGTGAGCGCACGTCTGTGGTACATGCATGTATGTGCATGCACATGTGTGTATATGAGAGTGCACATGTGAGTGTGCATATGTATACACATGAGCTCACTTCTGTGGGCATGCATGTGTGTGCATGTACATGTATGTATATGGGGTGAACATGAGTGCATATGCATGAGCTCACTTCTGTGGGCATGCATGTGCACACACATGTGAGTACACATGTGTACATGTAAGCACACACCTCTGCATGTGCATGCTCATGTGTGCATGAGAGTGTCTATGCATGTGAGCACACATGTGTACCTGTGAACACACACACATGTGAGAGTGTGCATGTGTGCGGCACATGTGTGACATGTTAGTGCACATGTGTATGGCCCAGATTTTCAGAAAGTCATGGCTGATCACCCACAGCTGGAGGGACCAGAAAGCAGGAGGCTGTCAGCAGAATGTCGGCTGAGCTCTGATCTCAGGCTTTTGCTCTAAAGCAGCTCATTTTAGACTCTGCCTTCAAAGTCCTTACAGCAAAGTGGGTGAGTTGCTCCCACATGGAGTTCCCACATTTTTCTTGGTGACCTACTGTGAGTCCAATAGTTAGAGGTGAACTGCCTCCCCTGCCCTGTGAGATGCTGGAAGCCCCAGCAGAAGCAGGCAGGAAGATGGGGGGCTCGGGGGAATGTAACCTGCCCAGGACTCCTGGGTGTAGCCTCAGGGAGGACATTTAAACCCAGTGACCACCTATGACATCACAGAGTGGGCATCACTCCCATTTTAGATGGGATGACTGAGGCAGACAGGATGGAAGGACCCCTGGACATCAGACCACATTACAGGACCTGGGAACACACACACACACACGCACAAACAAAACAAATGTAGAAACCCTGCAACAACAGACAAATCCCAGATAAAAACAAAATGAACACAAAGAAAATCGTTTGGTGTCACCGTCATTGTGAGGAAATGAGGTAGGGCCAGACGTGGTGTCCAGGTGAGAGGGCAGGTCACCAGGAGGCCCGGGTGCAGCCCGACCCGCAGGGCCTGGGGCAGGATGTTGTGGGCTCAGCTGAGGACCCCACACATCAGCCCCTCTCCCGGGCCTGGGCTCCAGGGAAGGTACAGGCAGGAGGGGCCCCTGCTTGGTGGGAAGAACGGTGTTTGTAAAATGAAAGGTGTCCCGGATGCTGTGTCCTGGGAGGTTGGGCGGCAGCCCAGCGGGAACTGTTCCTGCAGTGCCAGACGGACACTGGGACACCCGCCGCCCTCGCTGTAGGCTGAGGACAGGGTGACGGGCAGGGTCAGCTGTCCTCCACGTGGTGTCGTGGGTGAGCCAGAGCAGGCTCGTGGGGGGCAAGGCATGCCCTTCAAGTCATCCCCCTCTGTGCGCTGGGGCCCCCCCTCCCATCACTGGCCCCCAGCCTCGGGTTCCCCGTTCCGGACTGGACGTGGCCCCTGTGGGCAGGTGGGGCTCCCGTGAGGATGGGGGGAGCCCGGCGTGCTGGGCGCGGACGTGGTGCATCCATGTGGGTCCCCAAGCCGGCCCCCGGCCGCGCTCTCTGCACCGCTCTGCTCTGAGCCCTGAGCCCTGAGCCCTCGACATCCTCCAGCACTTCCTGGGAGCTCTCTAGGCGTGTGCAGTGGTCCTTCCATCAGCTCGACCGCCCCCTGCTCCCAGATGGCGCCCCACCCCCTGTCGCTCGAGTTCCTTGGGTCACGTTTTCTTTGGCTTCCAGCTCACCCCACTGGGCCACCCGAGCTGACACACTCAGTCGTCCTGTGACTGTTTTGCTGCCGGGAGGACAGCGAGCCCCTGCACTCACACGCTCGCCCACACTCGCCCACGCTCGCCCACCGACACTGACCAGGAGCTTGCTATGTGCCAGGCGCTGTGCTAGGCGCTGGGTACCGAGAGGGGCAGGTGCGCCCGCCGCCTGCGACACGCAGCTGGGGGTCTGCAGGGGCTTGTGGAAGGGGGGCCGTGGGGCAAAGCTCCGCAGCTGGAAGCAGATGGGGTGTGGAGTCGGCAGGGTGTCAGCGGCTCCTGGGGGTGACTGGACGCGGGAGGGGGATAAGGCAGGTCTGTGGGCTTCTGGGACTATCTGAAAGCATCTGATTGTCTGGAATGTTCCCACTGTCTCCAGAGAAATGGGAACCTGACCCTCCAGCCCTGTTTGTGGCTCCACGGGCAGCCCAGAGGAAGCCTGTGGAAGGTGGCAGGTGGGAAACCAGGGTCACAGGCGCCCAGGGAGGTGACCTTCTTAGCCTGGGGGCCTCACAGGTCTCCTCGGCAGACGTGACTGTAAAGGCAGAGACCCTGAGGGCAGCAGGCACCCGGGCCAGCACCTTGGCCCAGACGGCTGTGGCTGTGGGGGTCACTGGCGCTCAGAGCCCCAGCTGTGGCCTCAGAAGGGGGCTGACTGTGTCTCCGGGGATGCAAGGGTCCCCGCGACAACGGGAGCACCTAGCATAGAGCCTGGCATATAGATGAGGACAGAGAGGCGACGAGAGCGGAGGATGAATAACCCGGAAAGGGAGGAAATAAAATTCATGCGTACTTGGCTCGGGGGCATATTTTGGTACTTACATCTGACCTTGGGTATGGCTGATGCTCTGGGAATTCAGAATCCTAAACAAAACAACGAAGCCACAGTGTGGAGACCGGGTTCAGGGGACCCGCCAAGCGGTCAGCTCGCAGCCTGCCGCCCCCGGCCCCATAACGCCCGAGACAAGGCTCCCCCTTCATGCCTGCCGATGCGTGGGCCCTCCTCCGTGGCGCAAGGGAGGCCTAGGGTTTTTAAAGCACCCCACAGGACTCAGGCTGACGGAGGTGTCCGGACTTGCCGAGGACCTGCCTGGCTGCTGACCCTGCCTGGGCTTGGGGCCACCAGACAGGTGGTCCCCAAGAGGCCAGTCCTGGGCCCCACTCCTGAGCGGGAGCTGGGTGGTGCTGTGTCCCTCCCCTCCTGGAAATCGAGTGGACTTGGTGGTGGGTGTCGGCACAGGGGCAGCTGTTTTGGCTCTCGGTGATCAGAAGACAATGAGATGAATAATCCGTGGGTACCCAGGGGTTGGCGTGGGGACTTTTGGGGCCCCTAAGCGGATGTGCTCCTGTTTCCTGCAAAAAGCCTCCCAGTCCTTCACTTTTGGTCCCAAAGCCCAAAAGACTAAAAAGCTTTAGAAAGATCGGGTTTCAACCCCAAACCCTCCTTTTTATGCATTAGAATAACCTATCTCCACACTCTCCATGCTGCTGGCTGCCCCTGGAAATGCCTAGGGGTCCTCTGCCCACTGTACTTGCCACTGGCTTCTCTTGAAAGCTGGGGCTCAGAGACTCTGGGTGCCTACAGGGTCCCCACGAGGACCCGGTCCATGTCACTGGGGGGAGGGCGTGCACACGGGTAGGTACCTGGACCCCAATGGAGGAGCGCTGGCTCTTGAGGAACTCCTCGGCCTTGGACGCCAGGATGGCCTTGTCGCCGGTCCGTGTGGCGCCTCCCTGGCCCTCGGAAGCGTGGCGCTGGGCCGCGGCCGTCTCCAGGGCCAAGCTCATGGCCTTGGTGCTGTCCAGACTGTCCGTGGAGTTGTAGAGGCCGCGGCCGTCCGGGGGCCAGGCGGCCACCCTCTGGGCTCGGCTGTCTTGGTAGGCGTCCTGCGTGGACTCCGTGCTGCTCTGCGCTGTCACTGAGATCAAGGGCTTGGAGGTGGTGCGGGGGGGCACGGGCGGCGGCGTCTTCTTGTAGCTGGCGTAGGAGACGCCTGCGAGGGGGACATAGCCGGTCAGCAGGGTGCCGCCCGCCGAGCCTGCTCTCCCGCCCAGCACCCACCAGCCATCAGGCACAGCTCCCCTGGCGTCCAGCCTGAGAGGACACAGAGTGTGGGGGAAGCTTTGTGCTCAGAGACCGTCTACGCAGACGTGTGTTTAATAGTGAAAAGTTATGAAAACACCCCCAAATCAGGCAGAATAGGTGACTACTGACTCAGCAGGACAGAGGGCAGGCCACTGTCTTCACGCAGGTCAGGCACCAGGAGAGGGGCTCGTTCTATACTCGGAGCTAGAACCATAGGGCCTGCGCGGTTCTCTCCAGGCCAAGATGGACTGTGTTTGCACAGAAAACATGGGAAGGAAGAGAGGTTAGAAGCACACTCTGACGACGACCATCATCAGCGACGGCGTGGCGGAAGGCTCTCTGTGCGCTCCACAAGTGCTTCTGGTGGACAGGCATTATTTTCATCACAGAGAAGACACACAGGTCGGCAGGCTGGCTGCTCCCTGCGAGCGCAGGCTCGCCGGGTATAAACCGTGGGGCCGGCGGAGCAGGGAGGCGGGTCTCCACGTCCACCCTGTTCACCCCTGCGCCCTGTGCCCCCGCCGCAGCTCCACACAGGCCACGGGCTGGAAATCCACTGAAGGGAACGAGCGCAGCTGGACCTGAAACGGTACTGAACGCCCCTTAGGAGGCGTCCAGACTCACCAGCTGTATGTGCTGGGCCCGGGTGGTCCTGATTCTCACGGCAGGAAAACCTCACAGCTGCTCTGATGGGAGTGGACTTCCCACCGAGGCCGGCTGTGCTGCTGCCCCTGGAAGGAAGAACTGGCTGGAACCCGTGGGGGGAGCCTCATCATCAGCAAACTCGGCACCCACGCCGGCGGCAGGTGAGCAAGGGCAGTTGGCTCGGGGACCATACAGGCCGGCGGGCAGCCCAGGGGGCGGCCCCCTCCCCGGGGGCAGACGGGACGGCCCTGCTTTAAGGGCCTGCAGACCCGGGCCACGGGTCAGTGCTCTGTGGCCCGTGGAGACTGCCAACTCCTCTCCCGCCTGTGGGGACTCCAGCCAGCACTCCCAAGCCGCAGCTGCCCCGCCAGTGACTTTTAAATCTGTGTGAGTGGATCCGCTGAAGAAATAAAGCATCAAGTGTCACCCAGATGGACATCAACAAATAAAACAGAGTGAGTTTATCACGTCAGGAGGATCTGAGTTTAAAGGCATAAAAACCGCACATGAAAATTTATAAAATGCACACATTTTCAAAAGGGCGAATGGGAAAGAGGCACGTTGGGTACAGAACAAAGGTAGGAAGAAGGCTATTAGAAAAACGGACTCTGAACAGTGTCTACAACAGAGAAACCTCTAAAATAAGTCTTTTTAAAGACTTGCCCCCTAATGCTCATCAGCCCCAAAAGGAAAATTATTGAAAACTGACTTTATTCCAGGTTTTTATTCTGGGAGATTCTGATGTTTGAGAAAACATTCCCAAGCTTCCGACCTCCAGCACTGACAACTAGCTGACTGTGAAGTGAGTGTGAAGCTTCTGCCCAGAGGGTGTGTCGCCAGCAGCAGGGGGGCCTCTCCACCGAGGTGGGGGGCTCCTCACCTCACAGGGCAGGGCCCTTCTGCCTGAAGCTGCTTCTTAAAGGCACATTCACTCTCCTCACCAGGCCTGTCCACCCATGGCGCTCAAGTGGCTAACATCCTTCGGTTTAAGAAGACCTCTGTCCATCTGGTCAGAGTCAACTGTGGTGCGTCCCCTCCAGCCCTGTGGTAACTCTTGCACAGGCCCCGCGGTCAGTCCTGTTCCTGTGGAGCTCACAAAGCTTCAGGGACCCCTAGACGGTTCACCACAGCCCGTCAACCCCCCGCACCCACCTACAGTCGTGCCCCTGCAAGCCTCGTTGGAGCAAACCCAGGACTTAGTGAGCTTGCTGAAACCCCAGCATCATCACCATGGGGCCAAGGTCACTGAGGACACAAGCTCCTAGGAGTCAGGATGGGCCCCTCTGTCTATGGGATTCTCAGGCAGGAATACCGGAGTGGGGATCCCCTCCTCCAGGGGATCTTCCCAACCCAGGGATTGAACCTGCATCTCCTGCTTGGCAGGTGGGTTCGCTACCGCTGACCCATCCGGGAAGCCCCTCCCTGGGCTCGTCACTGCAGAACAGAGGGACTGTTCCAGAAGAAGGGAAATGCAAAAAGCACAGCAAACCCACCTTCTTCAAGGAGGTTGTTTCTGGCCACAGAGAAGAAAAAAAACCTATGAATGTATCTGGGCTTCTCAGTAAGATAAGAGAGCAGCTCAGGCTTCACTGTGATTGCTGGTGGTGGAGAAGAGACCCTGGGATCTGGAGTGATCGAGGGTCTGGGTACCGCGAGCTGAGGCTGGACATCGTCAGGACCCTTTGGGGAGAGTTAGGCTCTGAGGCGCAGGAGGGGTTGCGAGTGCCCTGCTGGCCCTGGGGACAAGAGCGCCAGCTCCCTTCAGCCGGGTCCTGACTCGCTGACTCAGCAGCACTGGGGGCTGGGGTTTCGGGAACCAGGGATGTCCTGTGTCTCACGGATCAGCTGAGCAGAGCTGGTGCAGGGGACAGCGGGCAGGGGGTGGGGTCTCGCACTGTTCTGCCCCCAGATTGCTGCTTCCCTGGGGAAGGCTGGCTGGCTGTACCCTCTCGGGGACCATGGGGGCCCCGGACAAGTCCCTGCCCCCCATCCCCGTCTGGGGAATCGCAGACCCTCTGCAGCGTCAGCCAGCGGTGCTCAGCCCAGAGAACCTGCGCCCCTCTCTCCCAGGGGACCTTGGCGACATCTGGGGACACTCCTGGTGGTTACGATGGGGAAGGGGAGAGGCAGGGGTGCTGCTGGATGTTGTCCGGGCTCAGGAAGGCCCCACCAAGCAGATGACCAGCTCAGAAATAAACCCAAGTGAGGCCGCCACCTCATGTTTCCGGTGGGGCCCCCCTGCTCCCCTGTGATGGGAAGGGACATAGGTGGCCAGGTCTTTCCATAACGGCTCCTCCTTCCCTGTGTGGGGTAAGGCTGAGGCCTGCCTTCCTGACCCGGGACACGGCTGGCCGTCCAGAGTGTGTTCACTGCTCCCCCACACCTCTCCCATATCACGTGTTGCTTCTTTCTTAGTGACCTTTTCTCCACCGCTCACAACATCGCTATGACAAGGGAACCAGCACAGTATCTACACGTGAACTGATGGGGAAGGGCGAGAAGCAAGCTTACTGGCAGCTTTTCACGTTAAACACTGGGAGCTGGCGGCGTCTTCATGGGAACGCAGGGAGCACAGCTCATTTATGAAGGAAGGTCTTTATCCTTCGACACCGTGTCTGCAGACCCCGCCAAGAGCAGGTGGTCCCCTGCTCCCCAGCTCTGCGCCGTGACCGTGGCTGAGCACCCAGACCTCATCCTACAGTGGAGGGTGGTGGTGGTCCTCGTTGCTTCTCTTAAGCAGAAAACTGATTCTGAAGAAACACCCCCTGCCTTCCGGCGCCTGGCGGTGGCCGTGCAGGTGACCGAGAAAGCCAGGAGCAACAGATTTCAAAGCGACGCTGTCACAGTTGTGTTTATGTTCACAGCATGGAGGTGAGCGCACAGCAGCAGCAGAAATGCAGACATGTGGGCTTCCGGGCCGCGTGCACCTCCCCAGGAGCGAGGACACGTGCGCGAGGACTGTCACGCTGTCGCACAACAAACACGCCAGGAAGCCGGGACGAGGCCCTTCACGCGACAAAGCCCACGTCCAGCACAGCTCACCTCCGCGTCCCGCTCAACCTCCAGGGACTCCCTTCACCTGCTAAAAAGGATGAACTGAGACTGGAAATCTGACAAAGCAACCAAACTGCCTTCCTGTCTGGAAGTCTTATTTTCAGTGTTGCAGTTTATCTCCACGGTCACAGGAAAATCCACTATCACATCTTCTCAACTTAGAATGCGTTTGCCACAGGGTGATAATGTGAATTTATACAGTTATTTCTTTGTAAAAATGTAGTGGGACAACACATTTTCCTAACAAATTAATTAAAAGGGGGCTCCTTGGCAGGACTGGTGCTGAAGCTGAAGCTCCAATACTTTGGCCCCATGATGTGAAGAGTTGACTCATTAGAAAGGACCCTGATGATGGGAAAGATTGAGGGCAGGAGGAGAAGGGGATGACAGGGGATGACAGAGTATGAGACAGTTGGATGGCATCACCGACTCAATGGACATGAGTTTGAGTAAGCTCCGGGAGATGGTGAAGGACAGGGAAGCCTGGAGTGCTGCGGTCCATGGGGTCACGAAGAGTCAGACAGGACTTAGTGACTGAACAACAAGAAGTCTGTCTCCAGGGTAGCAGAGAACAGTCTATACTCAAGCTGGGAGGGGCGGCACAGCGACTAAAGGAAGCGTTCATGCTGTTTCCACACTGTGTCGGGGGGCCCCCCGAGGTTGCTCTCAGGGCCAGAGTGGATGTGATGTCCCCCCAGAACACTGGGCTCCCCTGAGAACACCTGCAGTGGCATTTAGCCACCAGGGGCCAAGGAGAGTCCCAGCTGTACCCGTGAGGATTCCTGCCTGCAGGTCCCCCACCCCCTTCTTGGCTGAGGGAAGTGTGGCTTCTCTGGGGCAGTTTGCAGCCCCTGAAAATACCTGCCACTGTCCCTTGACCCCCTTGTAATGGCCCCAGTGAGAATCTAACACATACACCTAATGGAAATAGCAGCTGCTACCTAATGTTTTGTGAATAACTTAACACAAGCTAAAGAAACACATGGAAAAATACACATAAATGTTGCAGACACGCACATACCAGATCCATGCCGACACATTAGTATAGAAGTCAAACGGGATTTGCAGTTTGCACTGTGAGACAGGCCTTTAAGACAGGTTCTCCGTGGCCCTGCGCCTCCGGTCGGGCGCATGCACACAGCAGGCCCCCTCTGACCCTGGACAGGGCCACTCACTGCAGATGCTGCATCACCTTTACATTCCTGGTCA